AGCGAGAGGAAGCTTCCGAGCCTCAGAGCCCAAGACAGCAGCGGCTGCTTTTCGGCGTGCCAGCTTGATCTTGCCCCGACTGCTCCTGGACAGCAGCTCCATGACAATTTCGTGCGAGCTGCGTGGGCCGCGATCTTGTCGGGCGTGGGCGTGATGGTGGTAGGGGCTGGCGCTCCTCCATCTTGTCCTTGCCCCTTGCCGCCGCAGCCTTGGCCTCCGCCCTTGGGCTGCAGCTTGGCCCGCGGGGCGCGCGCGCTGGGCCGCCCTCCTCCGCGCGCCCACTTGCCGGTCGGCTTGCGGGGCCCGTCGTCGGCAGCCGGTGCGAGGGTCCTTCTCGGCGCCCTTGCAATTCGCGATGCAACAGTAGGGGGGATGCAATGGCTCATGGCCCCCGCGCCGCGCGCGCCGCCAGCGCTTCGCCGTGGGATCCAGAAGGCCCACGCGACCAGCAACGCGGGAATGATGACTGCGCGCCCTCGGGCCGAGGGGGGCAGGTGGCGACCGGGGGCGGACCTGGCTCCGCAAGGATAGGACGCGAGCTCGGGGAACGGAGCTACCCCGTTTGCGACAGGAGGCAGACGGCCTCCCGAACGTAGAGTCTTGAACCAAAATGGCTACGGAACGCCACTGGGGCCTTCGGCGGAGCTTCCTACGGAGCCGCGACCCTTGTAAGGGATGCGCCTAATTGACCCGCATCCGCCATGCGGACCCTGCCGCTGGGGCCTTCCATGGAGTTCCCTTGGGGGCCGCGATGCTTGTGATGGGGTGCGCCGAATTCGCCCGAGTCCGCCATGTGACCCTTGCCTATGGGGCCGCGATCCCCCTGAAGGGGCGTGCCGAACTGGCCCGTGTCTGTCCTCCAAGCGGCCACTGCCGCTGGGACCTTCGGTGGAGCTTCATGCGGGGCCGCGATCCTCGTGAGGGGCGCGCAGAACTGGTCGGCGCGCGGAGAGCGGCGGCGCGGATGGGGGGGGTGGGGGGGGAGCAGCGGGGGATGCGTGACGCGGGGCGCTCTCTCTTCATAGCGAGGGCCCGGCGCCGCAGGAAGGTTGCGGGGAAAACAAAACCCTCCTACCGCGCCGATGGTAGATATTTGTATATATGCATGCATGTATGTACATACATATATAAATATGTATATCTATGTGTGCGCGTGTGTGTGTGTTTCAAGCTTCTGCGCTGTCAAGTTAAGATGCCCCGCTCGAATGCTGCGTGGGTCTCCTCGCGCTTTGCGCGGGGCTCCCTTGATTTCGCTCGCTTCGTGGGGCTCGTTTACGATGGGATCTCGACCGAGAGAAGCCCCCCGTCAGTCGCCCAAGCCTGACCCCAGGACGTCCACTGTTTTTCCGGGCGTCGGATTGTCGCGCTTCCCATCGCGAAGCCATCGGCGCCCAAGGCGCCCTGGAGGCAATCAGGGTGATCCTTGGCATGGGTTTCCACAGTAACTCATTTCGCGCGGGCGCGCCTTTGAACGGGCGGCGCACTCCGCTCCTGCATCCGCTGCAAGTTCAGGGGGCGCGCGCGGCGCTGATCAATGCACAGGTCGCAAGTTTCACCGCGAATGTGCGCTGCGCTGTGCCAAGGGCCCCGTCTTGAAACGAAGTCGCCGCCCGTGTGCGCCGCGCTGGGATGGCAGCTCCATGTGCGCGCGATCCCCGCCGACCCTTGTAGATGATGCTTGGCGTGCTCCAATCGAACGCGCGCGGCGCTGAGGCGCGATCGCCGCCTTGACCCCCCCCATCCCCGCGAACTTTCTGTGCGAATCTGCGCGGGCTTTCAGCGACCGTCCGCGGGGCTCCTCGGGGCCCCGCCCCCGCGCCCCCCCCCCCGCCGCGCGCCGGCGCTCTTCGCTCGAGGCGGGAAGGGCGCAGATCTGAGCGCGAACGCTGAATCATTGTCAACTGAGCGGCCTGCTCCCAGCCTGTAACGGGAGAAAGGCAACTGGGGGGGCGGGCCTCGTCGAAGAGGTTGGTGAGGGAGAGGGCGGCGCCCGCGCCTTGCGCGCCTCGGCCCGCTCGGCCTCGCGGCGGCGGCGGGCCTCGGCGCGGTCGGCGGCGATGAGGCCCAGCTGCTCCCCCGCGAGGGGGGGGCGGCGGAGGCGGGGGCGGGGGGGGGGGGGCGACGTCCAACCCTGCGAACTCCTCAGCATCAAGCTCCTCCTCCAGTCCAGGTCTGAAATTCGCGGCTATGTCAGGGGCTGCTCAGAATTTGGAGTCGGATCACATTCGCACTGCGCATCCTGTGTAACATCCGTGTATTTTCCGAATTTGTGTTATTCAGGATCTGTCCGACATACTCTGTGCTTGCTACGGCTGCCAGCTTTGCATGCAAAATCAGGTTCTGACGTGAAATATTGATCCATGTAAGCAATGTAAAAGCGGCGTAGTCCCTCCACCAACGCGGGTCTGGATCTGGTCTGCAGACTGCTTCGTTCTCATCAGCGTATATGCGCTGCGCTGGGTATGTTGTCTTCTTCGTGAAAACACGCTGGGTGCAAATACTTCTGCGCGATGGGTGCGGCACGGTGCCCATTCAGCTCCACTGGCAGTGTAGACGTGGGGCCTGTATTTGTAGTGACGGTCGGGGTAAAGAGGCTGTTCATGGGGCTGTTCATGGGTCGGTGGTTCAGGTGGGTTGTTCACTAAATGCTTGTAACCGGCGAGGGATCTCGGATCAACCTCGTAGGCTTGCTCCTGGATGATCGCTGCGGCCTGGTCATTGTCAAAGATGGTTGCTGCCAGCATAGCTGATGGGTAGAGGCCGTCCTCCGGATACTGCGCTGACGCTGGATAGGCTGCGCGCCATATTCCAATTCTTGCGCGGCGCTGCGCTGTGTGCTGACTGGCGTCCTCCAGACGCAGTGCCACGGCTCTGTCGGGATCGATGGGAGTGCCATGCGTCATGTAGGCAAGGTGGCAAACAGGCGTTCCGAATGCAAGGTGGTATCGCAGCTGTCTTGTGGATGAGAAAGCAAACAAACACGACATGCATGTACTTCCCTCCCCCATGGATCGTGACACCACATGCGCTGAACTGTAGTGTGCACGCACTATGCGTTGTCTTGTGCTCTTGGCTGTGTCATCTGTGTAACCACACCATATACACTTCAATGCGGGAAGAGGAAGAGGAGGAAGAGGAGGACGACGGGGAGGAGGAGGGCCTTCCAGGAGGAAGAAGAGGAGGAAGAGGAGGAATAATAACAAAAACAACCTTCCCCCCCCGTCCATCCGTGTGACTGCTGCGCGTCTCAAGCTTCAGGACCATCCGTTATGAGGACAGCTCGAGGCGTAAAGCGTATGTCCCACCCCGCCGACGCGCTTCGGGGTGCGATGAGGAAGCGTCAGGGGACAGAGAGGGACCTGAAGGAATACGCCCAGGGGGAAAGGAGGGGGCAAACGCGGGGAACCCTCCCACCCCCTCCTCTTTTCCTTTTTCTCTGAATCGCCCCTCCCTGTCGCGCCCCGAAGCTTGTCGAAAGGGCGGGCCGGGCAATTCGCCCTCCTCACTATGTAAGGTCCTCAAACCTGGAACTTGCAGCAGCTTCGCGGATGGAAGGCGGGTCGTTTTAAGCTGTGGCTCTCGCCGTAACGCCGCACGCAATCGGTTTAAAGTTTGCAACCGCTTCACGGGTGGAGGGCGGGTTGTTTCCAAAATGTGGCTCCCGCCTGGGTGCCGCGCGCATTTGTTTCAAAGTTTGCAAGAGATTCGCGGATGGATGGGTGCCCATCGGCAGACTGTGGCTCTCGCCTCAGCGCCGCGCGCATTCGTTAACAAACACGACAGCTTCACGGGTGGAGGGCGGTTCCTTTTCAAACTGTGGCTCTCGCCTCAGCGCCGCGCACATTCGTTCCAAGAATGTACAGCCGTTTCAAGAGTTTTCATTGTTAACATCCCAACCAAGGTTTGTTGGCACTATGTCGGACTGTCAGGGCGCAGCAGGTATGTTGATTGGTGGCGTTGGACATCCCAGGAATGGCGTTCTGGCACGATTCAGGATCGTCAAGACACAACAGCAACGGTGATTCGCAGCGTTGGAGTCCCACGAACGATGTTCGGGCATAATTCAGGACTCCTACACGGTTGTCTACCAACGGCGCACTTCCTTCGCGAAAAGCGACCCTGTGTATGGAGCCTGTGAGGATGACTATTCGAGGAAGGCTTTACTGCAGGAGCTCGACCACAAGAAATCTTCTACAAGAAACCCAACCCTGATACCCCAGGACGTCCATTCATTTCTGGTGTGGGAGCGTCACGCTTTCGATAGCAAGACCATCGAAACCCAATAAACCTAGGGCAACCTGGAGGAAAGCAGGATGCTTCTTGGCATGGGTTCCAGCTGAAGTGCACCATCGCTGATGAGCCTTGGGCTTACGCTGGTCCTCCTGCTCCTCCCCCTCCCCTCCCCCTTCACGCTCTCCCTTCGCCGCCCCCTCTACCCTCCTCAACACCCTCTCACCTTCACACTTCTCCTTCTCCTCAAGGCGAAGCCAAGACGAGGAAACATCGATAATCCCTGAGATCTGGAGGCTCTAAAGGATGTCTCGGGCGCCGCTGCCTTCTCAGAGCGTTCCTGAACGCTCCGAGAGCGTTTTGGAAGGCTCTGGAACGGATCCTCGTTCTAACCCCGTCCAGTCTCCTCCCCATCCAAGCTCGCTCGGCGTTCACAAAGACGACGCCTCCGAACGGCGGCGGCGACGACGACGCCGCCGTCGCGCCGCCGCAAGTGCCTCCGAATCCAAGGAGCAAGACATGCCAGAGACATAGTCTTTCGGATGTCCGCGCTTATTTCTTGGATCGGCGTTGGCCCCTGCGCTGCCAGCGGGCCCGCCCCCGCGCCGATCCGAGAAAGTTGTTGGCTGTTTGTTACTCGAAAGCTTTTGCTCGCTCCCCGAGGGTGGTTGTTCCCGAGGCGCTGCCAGGCGGACCTCCGAAAGTCTGTGTTCGCTCCTCGACGAATGGCCGCCGAAAGGCCGCCGAAGGGGACGGCACGGCCGCCTCGCCTCTGCGCCGGCGGCCGCGGTCCTGGTCCTCGTCGTCGTCGCCGCGCCGCCTGCGTCGGTCCCTGTCCTAGCGGCGCTCGGGAGGGGCAGGTTCCCAAGCCTCCGTTCTTCCCTGTCCCCTCCTCCTCCTCCTCCTCCTCCTCCTCCTCCTCCTCCGACTCCTGCCTCCTCCTGCCCCCTCCTGCTCCTCCTCCTCCCTCCTCCTCCTTTTCCTCCTCCTCCTCCTCGTCCTCCTCGTCCTCCTCCTGCCCCCTCCTCCCCCCTGCCCCCTCCTCCTCCTCCTCCTCCTCCTCCTCCTCCTCCTCCTCCTCCTCCTCCTCGTCCTCCTCGTCCGGCTCCTGCCTCCTCCTGCTTCCACTCCTCTCCCTCCTCCTCTTCCTCCTCGTCCTCCTCTTTTTCCTCCTCCTGCTTCCGATCTCCTCTTCCAGACCCCTTTATATGAATCACTCCTCCCTGTCGCACCCCGAGACCTTGCGGTAGGGCGGGCCGGGCGCTCCGCTTGAGACTTCTTCACCAAGCATAATGCTTAACCTGCAATATTGCAACCTCAAGAGGAGGAGGAGGAGGAGGAGGAAGAGGAGGAGGAGGAGGAGGAGGAGGAGGAGGAGGGGGGGAAGGAGCCTCTCGCATCAGCCTCTCGCATCAGCGCCGCGCGCACGTCTTTCAAGCTTACACGAGCTTTATGGATGGAGGGCGGGACGCTTCAAACTGTGGCTCTCGCCCTGACGCAGCGCGAGTTCGTTTAAAAGATGTGCAAAAGCTTTACGGGTGCAGGGCGGTACTTTTTCAAATTGTGGCTCTCGCCTCCGCGCCGCGCAGATTTGTTTTGAACGTTTACAGCATATTTAAACTATTGTATTCTGGCTGACGTCGCAGAGCTTGCGCTTATGCACGATGTAGGATCGTCAGGGCGTCACAATTACGTGGATTCGCGGCGTTGAAATTCCAGGAGTTGTGTTCTAGGGCCATCAAGACGAAAATGTAAGTCCTTCGCGACAATGAAGTCACAGGAAGCTCCGGCACGGTTCAGGATTTTCAAATGGTTGTCTTCCAACTGGGCACTTCCCTCAGTGAACATAACCCCTTGTAGGGACCTGTATGGAGGCAGGGTTTATCACAACATCGCTGATGCGTCTTAGGTTTGCACTGGTCTTCTTCTTCTTCCTCCTCCTCCTCCTCCTCATCCTCCTGCTCCTCTTCCTCCTCCTCCTCCCCCTCCATCGAACCACGGTGGCTGCGGTCTTTCTGAGCGGTTGTCGTCCAGGGGATTGGAGGGAGGGCGCAAGGTGTCCCCTCTGCGGCCTGAAGCCACGAAGTTCCAGGCAACACCGTGAATGACCATCCAGCGGCAACCGATCGCTCGGGCAGTTCCACGGAGCTGGAGTTTCAGCACGTCTCGATCCTGTCCTTCAGGATCGGCATCGAGTCCAAGCTCGACTTACATTCCTTCGCGGTCGCCTCCGAGTTCCTCAGATGTTCTTCTCTAATGAGGCTGTCTCTAAGCAAGCGTATGCCCCCCCGTAGGTTCTGCGAGACAGGGCCCGCGTTCTCTGGCTGCCCCAGATTGGAGAAAACACCAAACTCGAGACCCATCCAGGCCTCCCCTCCTCCCCCTCCCCCTCCTCCTCCTCCTCCTCCTCCTCCTCCTCGTCCTCGTCCTCCTCCACATCCTTCCTCCTCCTGCTCCTCCGTTTCCTCCTCCCGCGCCTCCCTCCACCCTCATCCTCCTCCCACATCGGAGGGCTCCTCCTTCTCCTCCACATCCCCCTCTTCCTTCTTCCCTTCCCTTCCCTTCCCTTCCCTTCTCTTCCCTTCCCTTCCCCTCCTCCATGTATTCCCATCCACAACGTCCTCAGCTCGCCTCTTCCTCCCATCCTCCACTTCCTCCCCTCCTGCACCTCCTCTCCTCCCCTCCTACACCTCCTCCTCCCCTCCTTCCTCCCTGCTCCCTCCCCGTCGTGTCTTCCCTCCCCCATCGTCGCCGTCGTCGCCGCCGCCGCCGTCATTTTCGTCGTCGTCGTCGTCGAAGTCGCCAGAGGGAGGAAGACAGGGGGGGAGAGGGGGCATGAGAACGCGTGCGATGAGGAGGCCAGCGGGTGGATACAAAAGGGGAAGAACTCTATGCCTTTTCTCCTCTTCTCTTCGACACCTCCTCCCCCGCCCGTCCCTCGTCTTCGGTTCCCTTACCCCCGCCTTCGCACACCATCCCTCGCTCTGCAGGCCGATGGGAGCAGCGGAGGAGGGACTCCTCCTTCTGCCTGTTTGTCATCAATGTTTTTGCATTGTTTGGCGCTACTCGAACAATCTAGATTAGAATCGTTCGAGTATTACGCAATATTTGGACGATAAATCACTACTCTGACAACTCAATCGAGGGCAATGGCTTCTGCTCAAAATGCGCCGTACGACGAACCAAGCAACACGCCGTGTACACCAAATGGATCGTATTTGCAGCCTTCCGGCGTCTCAACCTAACAGGCCGACAATGAAGGCAATTGTAATACACCGCTTTCCCGAACACCACCATTTGCTGTGTCAGGGCATGTGTGTGCTCCGGCGCACGTGTGGTCCCAACAAAAAGCCCGGACGCAGAGCCCCACACATCCGTAGCATGGTACCCGAGTCCGCCTGCCACTGTGTGATGGAAGCGCTGCCGCCATTGGACAGGGTGTTGGTGCATCTGCAGGGGGCACCAACAGTGCTAAGCGTGCGTCGTTTTGAGGCTTTGGGTGCATAACGCAGTTGCTCGCGACCGTTGACTAGTTTCGGAATGTGTCCCGAATCCGTAGCGTCGACGAACAACAGATCCGATGAGCCACACGAAGCCTGCGCGGTCTCTCTACCTATCATCTCGTCTTTAGTAGGCCGATTGTCTCGAGTGATCATGCCCGCGTGCCCGTGACATCTCTGCCTCTTGGTATCAGCGCCCCTCAAACGGGGACTCCACTAACGGGTACTCTGCCCAGTGACCCAGCGAACCCAACCCTTCCCGAGGCGGGCAACGCTGCATTGCCAGAAAGAGGCCCTCAAGTGGCAACTTTCGGCAACATTGCAAAGTACCCGTTAGCAAGTACCCGTTACGGTATCTCTACCTAACGTCTCGTCTTTAGTAGGCCGATGGTCTCGAATGATCAACTTGCATCGCATCCTCCTCCTCCTCCTCCTCCTCCTCCTCCTCTTCCTCCCCTTTCTCCTCCTCCTCCTCCTCTTCCTCCCCTTTCTCCTCCTCCTCCTCCTCCTCCCCTTTCTCCTCCTCCTCCTCCTCCTCCTTTCTGCCGCCTGGTAGCCCGTGCTGCGATATCCGCGTGACCAGTCGGGCTGCGGAGCCCGTGAGTCTAGCGCCAGCGCGCCCCGTCCAGGTGCGCAGGTCGGCAGCTCATCCACGCGCTCAGCGGCGTCTTGCCGCCTTTATACCGGCACTGACGAGGCCCTCCAATCGCCAATCGTTCTAGTTGCTCTCTCTCTCTCTCTCGCTCCCCTCCTCCGTCTCTCTACCGAACTTCCTCCTCGTGCCCCCTCACGCACATCCCTCATGCTCCTCCTTCTCGTATATGTGTCCTTGCTGCCTCCTCCTTCGTACCCTCCTCCCCTCCCCTCCAGCCTTCACGTCGCATCACCACCATCATCGCCATGTTGCTCCGCATCCCCCGCGAGAGGAAAGAGCGAAAAAGCAAAAGTGATGAGCAAGCATGGGCAGTAGGGGGGGGGCAGGCGGCCCAGGGGAAGGCGGCTCAGGGAATCCATCACAGACGGCAACGGCGAGGAGGGAATCGAATGCAGCAGCGCGAGCCGCGCGGGTGCATGACCGCAACGCTGAAAGACGGGGGGGCAAAGAGCCAACCCTGACATGCGATCAGCGCTGCGACGGCACCACATATGCTTTAGGACCAGAGACGGCTCGATTAACAACACCACACATTGCAAACCAGCGTTTCAACTCCTGCATATAGATGTATGCGGATATATATATATATATATATGTATATATGTATATGTGTGTGTGTGTGTTTGTAACAGACTGCGCGACGGGGGGGGCTCCCCCAGAGAGAGAGAGAGAGAGAGGGAGAGAGAGAGAGAGAGAGAGACAGAGGGAGAGGAGGAGGAGGAGGAGAGAGAGAGAAAGAAAGAGAGAAGGAAGGGGAGATACATATAGAGAGAGAGAGAGAAAGAGAGAGAGAGAGAGAGAGACACACAATGCTTACGAGAAGTGCGCGCGCGCTTCCCCCCCAAGCGAGAATGTGGGTTGTGGGATGCTCCTTCGCGATGCTCGTGTCCCGGCCCCCCCCCCCTACCCTGCCTCGGTTGCGCCCGAGAGCGAGCTCCTTCTCCGAACGCGACCCCCCGCTCAGCTCCCCTTCCAAGAAGGGAGCACACTGGCGAAGCATCCACGGGGAATCGTTCCGAGAAAACGTATTCGGCGGTGGACAAACCTCCCTTTAGTAAACCTCCCCTTAGTGAAAACGGCCTGGGACCGAAACCGAAGGACCTGGACCCGCAAAAATGACGGCCGCACGCCCTCTCGCAAACCGAAAACGGCCAACTACTTAATCGACGTGTCAGCGCAGGAGGTCTATCAACCTCCGACGTATACCGCCAACGTCGCAAAGACTCGTTGGCCAAGCGTCGAGCGCGCGTCGAGCCATACGCGGTGGCACAGTAGTGTAGCTTCGGCGACGACATTGTTCGCGCTCGGGTCGGCACGCGGCGCCACGCAGTCTAGCATACTCAACGGGAAAATCATACCCACACGAATCCCTGGATAACACCCTGGACAACTCGGACTGAAGGGGCCCTAGGACACACAAATAAATACACACAAACAAAACGTATTCTCCATATTTTCAAATCTTTTCTGGCTTCCTGTCTTCCCCCCACTTCCCATATTTTCGCATATTTTCTGGGGAATCGAGGATTAATTGTGTCTGTGTGTTTCTTTCCCTCCTGAATATTCAACGGGAAATCATACCCACATGAATCCCTGGAAAACACCCTGGACAACTCGGACACCCCCTCCAAGATGCATACCTTAAGCGCCCCAACATGTGACAATGGCTAACACAATACACACTTAGAGATGTGGCCGGCACTGATGCGGGAGCACCACGCCTGGTGCAGATACGGCATGTGGCCAATCGCAAACGACAGCACCAATCCCAGACGTGGATGTAGCCACAGCCCGGGCGAGAACATCATTCCCAATCACGGATGTTAATAATGGCACTCGAGCGGCAACATCAGACGTACCCAATAAAAGGATGCGGCTGGCGTTCAGGCGAGAGAACCTTTCCCAATCGGGGACGTGGCCAGCGCGCAGTGCTGCGAGGCGATGTCTCAGGCGGAACTGTCCAGACCAGCTCTCGCGCGGCATCTCCGAACCCAGAGTTGTGAGGATGTCTCGACGCGGGCTGCTCGAATACAGTCGAGGCGTTGACCTAACCTAAGGAACCCTAAATAAGGAACGAGGACCCTATTTTCCATAAGCTGAACTTCGATTTCGTATCGAAAACCTAAGGAACATCCAAGGCAAGCTGCGAAACACTCAAGGAACACGGGGCCCCTCCCCCACGAAAAGGGCTCCTTCTTCAGGGCCCCGACTGTAGAGGCCAAACTCGAGGAGGGCAGAGAAGGGCAGAGGTAACACGGGAAAGCGCGACATGCGCTTAAAACAGGGCTAGGATCGGGATAAATCGCTCCAGAGCGTTCCGGAGCGCTCTCAGAGCGTTCCGGAACGATCTGGAGCAGCCGCGGCGCCCAATACGTCCTCCAAACCCGCCGATTCTCAGAGATTTCGAGTTATCCCGATCCGATTTTGTCCCCATCTTCGCGTCGTTTTAGCGCTTCCGGAGCACGCAGGCCGCGGCGGCTCAGACTGCCAGGCCCATGGCGCGTGGGGAGCACGGATGCAGGGCCGCTCGCCCTCGCCCGGACGTCCATCCCCTGTGAATTGTCCCGCCTCGCGCGCGTGTCTTCCTGTGCAGACGTGGCCCAACGCGCTCCTCGGTGGCCCTCGCCGAGAAAAACGGATGCGCACGCCCGAACGCTAGGGCTCCCAACTTCGCGCTTCGCGCTCCGCGAAGCGCGAAGCGCGAATAACTTCGCGCTCTCGCGCCGCCCCCCCAAAGGGAGAAAAGGAGGACGAGGAGGAGGGGGAGGAGAAACGAGGACCGCGAAGAGCGAAGCGCGAATAACTTCGCGCCCTCGAGGGAGCCCTTGCGAACGAGGCCAAGGCCAGGGGCACCGTCGGACCCCAGGCCTGCCTGTGAAGCCCCCCCCCCCTGACTAGCTGTTGCAGGATGGCGCAGGAGGGGGCGAAAAGGGGGCGATGATGATGACGACGACGACGACGACGACGACGACGACTTCGACGATGATGATGATGATGATGATGATGATGATGACGATGATGATGATGATGACGATGATGATGACGATGATGATGCTGCTGCTGCTGATGATGATGCTGATGCTGATGCTGATGATGATGATCATCATCATCATCACCATCACCACCGTCATCATCATCATCATCATCATCATCATCATCATCATCACCATCATCATCATCATCATCATCATCATCATCATCATCACCATCATCATCATCATCATCATCATCATGAACGTGAACATCTGAGCGACGATCACAAACGGGTCTTGCGCGAGATGACGTCGCGACCACAATTCCGCGGCGGCTGACGCGGGCCGCCGGGGCAGCGCGCCACGTTGGCGACAGAAAGCGCTCACGCGCGACCTCACGCGGGAAACTCACGCGCGGACGTCGGCGCAGACGAGCCCGCTTTTGAATCGCCCATCTGGCGCTCCCATTTGTTCGATGCGTGGACCCCTGGAGGCCTGGAAACCTTCCACACAAGGCCGGCTTCTCACCCCGACCCGTTTCCCGCGGCCCCGGGGTCCCGTCGAGGGCCCTGGAGGCCGCAACTGGCCCCGAGCTTGCGCCGCTCCATGTTTTCGGAGCCTCGGCTCTCTCGGAGAGAGAGGGGGGCAAGGCAGTCCTTGTCCTTGGCCTTCTCCTTGTCCTGTCGGGGACTGGCCATCGCTCGGACGTCCATTTCCTGTGTTTTTGTTCGGTTTCGTGCGTGTTTTTTTCGCCAAATGGTCGAGGATACTCCTCGATGGTCCTCGCCGAGGAAAAGACGCACACGTCCGAGCGATGCCAGGGGGACACAGCAGCACCCGAGGACAGCGCCAGCCCTGGGCCCGCGAGGGGCACGCCCCGCCCCTCGGGCCGGCCACGGACACCCACAGCCGAGCCCCGGCCAGCAGCAGACCCTTCACGGGCATGAGAGACCTCCGCCGGCCAAACTGAGGCACATTCCAAGGCCGGACTAACGGCGATGTTGCTTGACGGTGATGTTGGGAACCAAACTGTAGGAAACCACTGACCACGCGTTCCTACATCTCCAATCTGCGAAGGGACTGAGCGAATACGACACAGCGAATCCCACCAGCCCTCTGGGCGTAGGTGGTCTAGAGCAGATCCTCTTCCACCCCTCCCTCTTCCCCCTTGGGGAGGGGTTTACCCCTCCCCCTACCCCCTCCCCTGGACCTGGACGGGGGGGGCCGCGGGTAGTTAGAGCGTCCAAGATGGCCCAAGACGGCTCCAAGAGCGCCTCAGAGAACCCAAGATGAGCTCCAAGATGGCTCAAGATAGCGCAAGATCGCTCACGATGGCTCCTAAGATGGTTCCAAGAAGCCCAAAGACGGCCCCAAGATAACTCCAAGTGGCCAAACAGCTCCCCAAGGAGGCCCCGAAGAGGCCAAAATCGTCCCAAAACCTAAGGAAAATCAATGATTTTTGCTTTCTCGCCTTTTCGCTTCCGATGGCCATCCGAGGCCTGGAGATGGCTCCAAGATGGCCCAAGAGGGCCCCAAGAGAGCCCCAAAAGAGCCCCAAGACGGCCCCAAGAGCGCCCAAGAGCACTCCAAGAGCGTTCCAAGAGGGGTCCAAGAGGCGATTTTAGGGGCTTCCGAGGGGGGACGCTAATTAAACCCCCCCTCTTGTTTGATCGACTCCCTCCAAGATGGCCCCAAAAGCGCCCCGAAGGCTCCCCAGAGCGCCTCAAGAGGGTCCCAAGAGGCGCCCAAGATGCCCCAAGGCGCCCAAAAAGCCCTCCAAGAGGCCCTCAAAAGACCCCCAAGAAGCTCCTTCCCCTCCTCCTCCTCCTCCTCCGATTCTTCCTCCTTCTCCGTCCTCCTCCTCCTCCTCCTCCTCCTCCTCTTCCCCCTCCTCCTCCTCCTCCTCCGACGACGACGACGACGACGACGACTCCTCTTCCATCCTCCCCCTCTCGGGGTCTGTGACAGCTTCCCCCGCCCTTTGTTATTCTGCATGCTCCCCGACTTCCCTGATCACCTCAACTCCCCTGAGCATCGTTTCTGGATGGGCTGGTGGGGATACGCGAAGCGTCAACAATTGTAGGAGAGCGCGAGCCACGCGTTCCCACACTGCCAGAACCTACATCGCCGTTACCTACATCGCCGTTACCCCGTCTACGGACATTCGAGGGAGCCCCCCCCCAGGATGCACAAGCGCATCCAACGAGCACGAACAACATCAGCAGAGGGCAGAGCTTCCCCCCCCTACTGATCACCCCGACGCGCGAAGCCGTTTAGCAATTCATCGCGACGCACCCCAAGAGAAGGAATCGAACAGGGCAGGGCTGTTCAGTATAAACGACCAGGGCCGCTGAGCAAACGCCAGCTTCATCGGGTCCCGGTGGTTTTCCCTCCCCTGGAATCTGGGTACAGTGCGGGCGCGGCCGCAAGAAACCCTCGCAAGAAACCCAACCCTGAAAACCCGCGCGCGAGGTGCACCCGAGAGGAAAAAACCCGGAGCACCCCGAACGCAGCCGCTCCTCCCCCGGCTGCCGGACGCCACCGCCCGGCGCGCGGAGCGAAGAAACCCAGGACACCCGGACGAAGAGCAGATGGTTTTGAAGGGGCCAAGGGACACACTTATCAATAGACACAAATGCCAAGATCCCCCATACTTTCCCATGTGTTCTGGGTTTTCGTCTTCCCCCCACTTCCTATATTTTCCAATATTTCCGGGGGATCGACGACTAATTGTGTCTGTGTGTTTTTTCCCCTCCTGAGGTTTCTGGATGCGCGCGCCCACTGTGACCCTCCCCGAGCCGACCTCGATCTTGCACCTCGGCCCGACCGCAGCCCTGAATCGGCACGGGGCCGGCGCCGACTCCGGGGCGGCCGCGCCAGCAGCAGCGGGCCGCCGAAGGCCGTCGGAGGGGCACCAGAAGCGAATCTCGGACCAGGCCGGCCGGAATCGGAAGCGGCCCCGATCGATTGGAATGCAGCGGGAGCTCGCCCTCAAGAAACCCTCCACGCGAGACCGAAGCCTGAATCCCCAGGGCGTCCATCGCCTTTTGGTGCGGGAGCGTCACGCTGTCCATCGCAGAGCCATCGAGACCCAAGAAGCCCCGGGCACCCTGGAGGCAAGCGGGGTGTTTCTTGGAGTAGGCCCCCACTGTGAAGTGAACCCTGCCGCGTGGCTCCCGAACCCGGGCTAGCCAGAGTGGGCGGCGCGCGCGCGGGGGTAGCACGAGGGAGGGGGGCCCTTCTAAGCAGGCGGCGGCGCTTCGAAGAAGGTGCGGGCCTTCTTCGAAGCCCTCCCTGCCTCCAAGGAGTCTCCTGAGAATCGGGAGCGGCCAAGAGGGGGTTGTCCAAGAGGGGGGGGGTGCAAATCATGACCGGCGGCATGTGCGCGGCCCAGTGGGGGGGCCAGGGCCGTAATGAAATAAGAAGAGGCGCCGTGAAATCTGAGGAAAAATCATGGCCCGCGCCATGAAATCCACCCCCCCGAGCCTCCAAGGAGTCTCCTCCTTTCCGCCCCCGAGCCTCCAAGGAGTCTCCTGAGAAGCCTCCGGGCCCTTCTGAGAAGGAGTCTCCGGGCTCTTCTGAGAAGCCTCCGGGCCCTTCTGAGAAGCCTCCGGGCCCTTCTGAGAAGCCTCCGGGCCCTTCTGAGAAACCTCCGGGCCCTTCTGAGAAGCCTCCGGGCTCTTTTCCGCCCCCGAGCCTCCAAGGAGCCTCCCGAGAAGCCTCCGGGCCCTTCTGAGAAGGCCCCTGCCTTAGACTCGGGAGCGCGCCGCCGCCTCAGGCGGCCGCCCCCCTCGCGCCCCCCCCTCGTGCGCGCCGCCGGCAGGGGAGGCCAGCTGACACCAGAGGACCCCGGGTCACGGCGGCCCCCCTGCCGAGGGGCAACGATAGGGGGGGACTCTGGCCATCGCTCGGACGTCCATTCCCTGTGCTTTTTTCGGTTTCGTGCGTGGTTTTTTCGCCAGATGATCAAGGATGCTCCTCGATGGTCCTCGCCGAAGGAAAAATGCACACGTCCGAGCGATGCCAAGGACTGGCATCGGGGGGGGGTGCACCGACCTGCTGAGGGGCAACGATAGGGGGGGACTGGCATAGGTGAAGGGGCCCTGGGACACACACACACACACACACACACACACACACACACACACACACACACACACACACACACACACACACACACACACACACACACACACACACACACACACACACACACACACACACACACACACACACACACACACACACACACACACACACACACACACACACACACACACACACACACAACACACACACACACACACACACACACACACACACACACACACACACACACACACACACACACACACACACACACACACACACACACACACACACACACACACACACACACACACACACACACACACACACACACACACACACACACACACACACACACACACACACACACACACACACACACACACACACACACACACACACACACACACACACACACACACACACACACACACACACACACACACACACACACACACACACACACACACACACACACACACACACACACACACACACACCACACACACACACACACACACACACCACACACACACCCACACACAACACACACACACACACACACACACACACACCACACACACACACCACACACACCACACACACACACACCACACACACACACCACACACACCACACACACACACCACACATACACACACCACACACACACACCACACACACCACACACACACACCACACACACCACACACACCACACACACACCACACACACACACCACACACACACACAAAAGAAATAAACACAGATAAGACGACTCCCCATATTTCCCCATATTTTCCGGGTTTTGGTCTTCCCCACCACTTCCCATATTTCCCAATATTTTCTGGGGAGTCGACGATTAATTGTGTCTGTGTGTTTCTTCCCCTCCTGAATAGGGGGGGGGGTGCACCGACCTGGAATCCGCGCTACGTCGCCGACAGATCGGCGGTAGGCCTCCGATCGTGAGTCCGCGCCTTCCCCGGCAGGCTGGGGCTATCGGGCCCCTGGCGGCGATCACTGGACGAATGGGGGTCGATGCCTCCCCCCCCTATGTCGGGAGCGGCCAAGAAGGGGGTGCCCAAGAATAGGGGGTGCAGATCATGACCTGCGCCATGTGCGCGGCCCAGCGGGGGGGGGGGCCAGGGACGTACTGAAAGAAGAAGAGGCGCCATGAAATCAGGGGAAACATCGTGGCCCACGCCAAGATATCCCCCCCCAGGCATCTTTGGACGCCCGAAATGGGTACGGAAAGAATGGGTACAATGCCCAACAACAAGTGTTGTCCCAAGCCAACAGCGGCCGCTGTTGGGCAGGCGGCCTTCTGTCTCAAATGGACACAGGCCGCGGCGGCGTGGACAGCGAGCCCTGTTCAAAATGAGCAAGATCCGCTGTTGGGCATTGTACCCATTCCTTCAGTACCCATTTCGTGCGTGCAGACCCCAGGCACCACCCCCCTCTTTGCCGCCCCCGACTCTGCCTGTCCCCCCCCCCGTCGTTGCCTCCGACCTGTGCGCCTGGCGCGGGGAACGCCGAGAGCCCAGCCCTGGACCCCAAAGACCCTCCCTCGCCCCCGGGTGAAGGGGCCCAA